TGGTTGTTAAATATTTAATAAATAAATGCCAAATCTGATAACGTTCTCTTTCAGATTTGGGAAATATAAAGTGTTATCAAGAAGCTAAACTTACAGCACCATGGCAAAAGTTTTCCAGAAATTAGCTTTTCCCCCCATCTTTGAATCTACGCGTGAGTTAAGATTCAGCCCCAGCATCACAGCCTGCACTCTGGCTGTCCAAAAAAAGCAGGAAAACCAACACCAAGGCAGAGGTAAAGAGGACACAAATGTCTGCAACAGATTACTCTTAAATTACAGGTACATCTAATGTGTACAACTAATCAACAGACAAAGACCAGAGAGCACTGAAGAACTTCTCAAAATGCTCTTTAGGTGCTTTGGCAGATACCTTTGAAAACAAAGAAACAAACATACTAAATCAAAGAAAAATAAATGCTATTCATGAGGCAACATTGGTTGTTAAGGCTCTACTGTGTCTGTGCTTGCTTAGTATCTATTGATGGATAGTAACTGCATACTGTCAAGTGTGAGTAGAATGAAGTGGGGCGGGGTACTAAGGGGGCGGGGGTCGAATGGTGAGGCGGGAGGCACTATGTGGAGTCTTCAGGCTCTGACTTGATGGTCTTCTTCTCTGCGTTCGTGGACGCCCGCTGTGACGTTCCATTTTCTGAAGGAAAAAGGAGAATGTCATCAGCAAAGAGCTTCATAATAACAAACAAGTCCTGCAGAGCGGTTACTGTAAAACACTTTTGTTGTATGCATCCTTCCATGAGCTTAAATCTTGTCCAAAGTGTCTTTGAGTAAGGCACAGCCTTTTAACTTCCTGCTCATTTGAAAATCATTACATTTTTTGTATGAATATCATTTCAGGTTAGTCACCATCACTAACCTATTGCTGGTGTTTTGGTCTCATCTGTGTTGCTGTTGTTGCTGTTGATGTGGTTGTGATGGCGCTTCAGTTCATTGGCTAGCTGCTTCCCCAGTGGGAGGTCGCCTTCCTGCATGTTCTGACTTACCACCCGCAAGTTTATTGGTCGTTCATCTGGAAAAAGTAAAAAATAAAGGCAAAAATAGTTAGCTTTCCCAATCAGTTTCTCAAAGAAAAGTGAGCTAAAGAACCTTTAAAGTACCTTAAACTGTTTTTTATAACTGCCCTCTTCGCCACTATTTTCACCAGGAATTTCAGGGAATAACAATCAATAGTGACATAAAAAATATTCAGTAAGCAACAGCCCAGTACAAAATGAAAATTTCACCTACTATCTCTGAGATTAAGCTAAAGTAAATCCACTGGGATAGAAGTCAACATCAGCCCAGATGTTTGATGTAACACCAGCTTTGTTTTACATGTTCAATATTCCCAGTGGCAACAAAATGAGTGTGTTTGTGTGTGTGTTAAGCTGCTGATCCCTCATGTTTGCCTTTTATTCCCCCTGAGAGACAAAAAAGAAACAAAGACGGAGGAGAAAAGGGTGGATGAGGGGAAGCTGTGACAGTATTTTCCACCACATTCGACTGCTCGTGCCCAATGCAGCTGTTATTTAGTTGTTTATATGCACATTAGCCTCCTGTCTTGGGATTGTTTTGCTGATATTTTATCATGTATAAGGTATGAATTTTACACACAATACAAAGAAATGTGACATTAGAGCCAGATGACTTTGTCATTTTTGTAGCTATTTGCTAATAGTGCAGCTTTCAATCACACAACATGTGCTGTACTAAAAGATATGGCCTTTCATATATTTCCTGCTTTCTAAAGTTTCCATGCACCTTTTCCAAAAAAGGAGATAGAGTTCTGTTTTTGGGATAAAATTATTCAATTAAGCTGAAATAGATATAAAGGTCCTTTTCTTTTCTTTGGAGGGTAGACGAGCTTTAATAAGAAGAAAGTAAGCGAGGCATCGTAAAGATTTACTTCTGTCTGAGCCTGTTCAGCTGGACTTCATATGAAGTGTTTACACTGTCTGTGTAATCTCAGATGACTGTATAAAAAAGGCACTGCATAAACTTAGAGGACAGTGACACTGCAGCTTTTCACTTTCATTTTTAAGGCGGTGTCACACATAGTGTGTAAAATAATACATTTGCTGTTACAACTAACATATTCAGGTTTAAATAGTTTATCCAGAGACATTATAAACAGTGGTGTTTGATGTAATCACAGTACATTAGAGTAAACTGTAAGCTACCTGACAGGATCATTAAATGTTCATCATCATAAATCTCCATCTCTGCCTGTCTGATTGTCTTCCTCACTTCTCTGTATGTGTCATTTCTCTCTCTTTTTGTCATGTTTCTTAAAAAAAAGTAAGTCTGACATTTATTTCTTCAGCATGTTGAGGATGTCCGCCTCTCGGCCTGTGACGGCGTACCCCCTGATCATGAGACCCCAAATTAAATAAGCTGTTAAGAAAATGAATGCAAGTTTCCGAAAATGTTTCACAATAAAAGCTTTGTTAAGCAACCAAATGTACTTTATACACTATTTGTACAATGCTGAGTTTGTACAAACAGTGTAATGCAGTGACTCTAACAAAGTCATTTACTAAAATTAACTAATTGATTAATATAACATCACTGTTTGATTACCAAATAAATATGCAGTAGACTGAGGTTAATTATACCCTTATAATGAGGTCTGCTATTATAACATGACATGACATACAGACTTCCTAGTTTTGGTTATTTTAGCTCTGCTAGAAAAAGTATATTTCGCAGACCAGCAGCTGCTCCAAGTGTTGCTTTTAGCCTGACTTTGCAAGGATGCCATGTTTCATCTAACCTTCCAGAAAATCTGCAAAATATCTAAAAATATCCAGATGTTTTAGCTCAAACGGTCAGAAACTGCAGTTATTTTCTTTCTTCTTTTCAAATTAGGTGAAACACACTTGCCTTATTGGCCATACAAGTCTCTATTGCTCTTATGGAAATTTAAGGAGCTGGGTGCCATTAAATTATTGTGTAGGAAGATGATGAAATTAAAAGAGCTGCAGTCAAATCTCAAATGATGGAAAGCCAGGATGGACGCTGCATGTACCCCATGATTTAATCCTTAAGCCTCTACAGATAAATCAACTGTTTTATTGAAAGCCAACTTTTTAAAAACTATCTCAGCATCCACGCTGTTTAAAATTCCCAGCATTAACACTCAACATTTCTTATTGTTTTTCATTTTAAAAAATGCAAAAGAAGAGGTGCTTCTACTGAGCAGTTTGTTGTCAAATTTCAGGGTTTTATCCCAGTGGAATAAAACATAAAGGGGCAGAGAACGAGAGAATAAAAAGGAAACCTGCAGGAGAAGAAAAATGACAGAAGGGGGGAAGAAGAAGAAAATAAGAAAGGAGAGCAGAGAAGAAGAGGGGGAGGAGAGAGAGAGAAGTAAACAGCGAGAGAGAGATAGAGACGCCCCCCTCCAGGCAACTGGCTGGAGGTAAACAGGCGTGGGCGTGATAATTACAGGTGCATTGTGGGATTTGTGGGAACAGCGATATAATGAGCTGTCGGGAGTGGGTGAGGGAGGAAAAGGATAAAAATGAGATGAGGCCCGGAGGAGAAGTAAGATCCTGAATAATGATGCACCCCCCCCCCCCACCCCTCTGTTTGAGAAATCGGAGTGGGAGCAAATGGAGATGAAGAAAAAATACAAAATAAAAGGTGACAGCTGCCACGGCGGCCGGGTGTGGAAAATCAGCACCTATAGGTGTTGTTTCCATCCACGCATCCTGTGACATTTATGACATGAAGCATGTCTGCAAATTACTTGGTGCACTCCAGGAATGTCGGCCTCTATTCAGCTTAAAGACCAACAAAGAGCAAAGATTTGGCTCAAAAACAAAACCCCAGCTGGGTGTTTTCTCTTGACTGGACACAAGGGGCAGCAGTGAGTCAAATACAAAACAAAAACAAGAAAAAATGCTAATAATGCTTAGACAAGCCAAAAAAGGGATATGTTTTTCTAGACTCAAGATTTTTGATCTCTGCTCATTAATCACAAAAAACTGACTGGGCGCCAGTTTAGCTCAGTGCGCTGAGCGGATGACCACATGCCATATGACTGAAAGCCGCCGGGTTCAACTCCTGAGATGTTTAACAAAAAAAACGGACTGATTTATATTATATATTTGGTGATGTGACCAGAAACTTTAAAAATATAAAAAGACGAGACGACAGAAACCCACTTAAACCATTTTTTTGAGTGTTGATTTTGCACAGTTTGTCCACCAGAGGTCTGGTGCAACTTAGGGTAAGCATGTGCTTGGATTGCAACAAACACAACAGCTGATCCATGCAAAGTCGATAAGAGCAAAAACCTGAATATCACATATTTAATCACTACACTGTTATCAGTTTTAAAAATCTGAAAATTAACCAGGCAACTTTTGTTCAGTTATGTTTCAAAACGAAAATATTAAAATTACCAAGGAAAGACGTGCTGGGTGCTTTCTTTTAACTGGACACAGGGGGCAACATTGAGCCAACTATAACAATCGCGCAGGAATCTAAAAAGACTCGAACACGCCACACAAATATGAGGTTTATGTTTTGCTGAAAACAGATGTGAGTGACTTAACATGTTATTAAACTATTAGTATATTATTAAATTATATTTTTTAGCTCATAGACAGAAAAAATGCCCAGCATAGTCTCCATTTATTGGAGATTATCATACACTAAACATATAAACTACCAAGGAAGCTACAAAGGAAAAAAGCAAGGAAAAAAAAACACTAGGTGTTTTCTCTTGATTAGACACAGGGGGCACCAGTGAGCCAGCCACAACCAACAAAAGATACTAAAAATACTTGAAAAAGCCAAACAAATATAGAGTTTTTAATTTACTGGAAATCAGTTCTGGGTGTTTTTATATTAAAGGTTTGTTTTTGTCTGGATCTTCTTTTAGTGGATGCAGCCATAGATTTAAAAAAAAAAGAACATTTCCAGTGAATGGCAAGGGGCAAAAACAATCAGGTCAAAGTTACTTACTCTGAGATTTACTCCTTTTGCTTCCAACTGTGATTAAGACCAACAACAACTACCAAAAGGTGCTAAAAATACTGCAACAGAGTGGAGATTTATGCTTTTGCGGAAGCTGTCATGGGCAGTTTTGCATAAAAAAAAGCTTTTCTTCTGCTAATATGTGACAGAAAAACAGATTTATGGTTTACTGGAAGCGGTTTGGGGCTCTTTTTTTTAATATTCCTGAGTTTCAGTTTGCTTTCAGAGTTGCATCTAACCTCATTATTCAGTCAGGATCGTCTTTCGCACGTCCTGGGAGATTTATTACTAGATAATAATATGCTTCAAGAGAAATGTTTGGTAAACTTCACAGAAACATTTAAATGCCAGAGTCCTTTAACTTTATGATCACACCTTAAAAGTTGGATTGACTGGTTTGGAGTCAAAAGTATTTTCTCCTTGCACAAACCAAAGCAAGGCATCATAAAAATTTTAAAAGACTCCACCTTTTTAAATTCCTTTGTTGTGTAATTTTAATTGTGTTGTTATCGGCTGTACTGACAAGTATGACCTCTTACTGAGGAGGTGTGCCTGTTGCAACCAGAAATGTTTTGATAAGTTCAGGTTTCCGCTGATAAGCATCAAAGACGGCGGGATTTCATGAGGGCCGTGGGTGGTTTTTATCTTCATCCCTTTTTAAAATGTAGCCTCATTTCCATGTCACATTTGAATTCATTCCTTATGTTTTTGTAATAGTACATATCTAACAGTGGGGGTGAAACACGCCTCTGTTAACGGCCGCCCTACCTTGGCTGTCTCTGCTGGCGTCAACGGCTGCGTTTCCGTTGGTGTTCTGTGCATTGTTGAGGTACTTTAAGGCGGCGGGGGGGATCCTCCAGTCCAGAGCCTGGAGTCGTTCCTGGACAGCGGCATCCTGCAGGATCTCCATCTGCCTCGCCAGCAGACGCTCCAATTGCATCTGGTGGACACAAACAAACAGCAGTCAGATATGAACTGTGGGTAAAAATATCTTCTGCAGTCTCTCGATCAGGGGTCTCCAACTCCAGTCCTCGAGAGCTACTGTCCCTACTCCAACACAGTTGAATCAGATGGTGGAATTACCTCTTCAGCATGCCATCAAGTTTGGCAAAGGCCTGGTAACAAGCTATTCATGTGATTCAGGTGTGTTGGAACAAGGATGCATCTAAAAGCTGCAGGACAGTAGCAATCGAGGATTGAAGTTGGAGACCCCTGTGCTAGATGTTAGAAAATACAAGCTTTCATATGAAGATGTGACTTTCATCTGTGGACTCTCAGTAAGACTGTGATAAATGGATCTGCTGAGACATTATAGGTAGATAAAAAAGTGGATTCTGAGCTTTACTGGTCTTTAACAGGTAAAAATACAAACTAGTACGGTCCAGAGGTGCACGTAAAGACGACCTTGAACGTGAGAACAAACAAATTTAAATCCAGTTCTTGGTTTAAAAATCTTCAAAGAAACTTTTAATCAAGTACCAACCACAATGTGGACTTTGTTCCAATGTTATAAAATAAACAAAAGAGGAATTCAATGCACCTTTAAGAAATAAAGGACATTTTAAGTGCAAATTACTTGTAACTGTTGGATTAGGATTACAAGTAATCTCTAAAAAAAAAAAGAAACAGTGTTAAATCCAATAGATTTGGGCCTCATTCTTAAATTGTAGACCTTTCATAATTAAACATAATTAGCCTTTTTACATTTTAAAATATAATCAAAGTATCAGTTTAAGTTTAAATCTTCATTAAAGTAGGAGTTAACGCATAATGGCAGGAATTTTTCACTATAAATTTGACCTTCAGTTATTGCTAATACCAACTACAGAAATAATGACTCAAGTAAATACAGTGACACTCAGACCGTTGGGGAAAAGGTCATGGTCACACACACGGGCGTTTCCAGGATTTTCTCCAGGCACAAAAACCAGTCGGTGGAGGTGGGGAGGCTCCGTGGGAAATAAAAAACAAACCAGTTAAAACTATTTAGTCGTGGATAAACTTACTGCCTTCATAAATGTGCATCAGGAGACATCGCTGCCCTCTAACAATATAGCGGCTCGCCTGAAGCATGAGATTTAACGGCGAGCTAACCCAGTGTTTTAGTTTACTGAGTGGTAGAAGTTAAGAAAACATCTCACACATAGGGAGTCGGGAACGACAGGCAAAACGAACTCATTTATTCTTCTCAACGTAAAAAACTTTTTTTTTGTTGTTGTAAATTTGCTTTCATTGCATATTATTATGTGACTTGACATTTGTAATATTTTGTAAGGAGGACAACACAGATTTTCCTTAAAAAGAGAATCAACACCTACAATCGCTGTAACTTCCACACATGGTTGCTCTGGTATAATTATAGGTGGGCACCAAGGCCACCCCAGCTCCCCCTCTTTAGCTACACCTCTGCATATAATTGCTAAACAAGCTGTGAGAGCACGAAGAAGCATCTGAGGTTAAACCAGTTTTACCTTCATACACAGATTAATTGATACATATGAATAAATCCTTTAAAATCCACCGATTTTTGCTGAATTTTATTCTTTTTGATAAATGCAGTGTCTTAATTTCAAAGTTATTACCTTCTAGTTTCTGATATTGTACTTATTTAACATGCAGGTTAAGTAGAAAAGAGAGAAAACGCTTTCTGAGGTTTTTTTTGCTTCATTTATAATAGATAATACCTAGAGGATGACTATGAAGCACGATGAAGATTTCTAGATCCTTTTTTAATCCTGTCATCCACCCGTGTGAGGGTTCAGACCTGTAAGGTAAACGGCATGTGCGATATATCTGAACTGCTTTGAGGTTTGACCTAAATCCGAGTGACCTGACTGAGGGTGAACTTTTGCCCCCTGCATCTGCCTCTTGGGTGCGTTAAACCAACCCGGGGAAAGAGCTTGAATTTACAAAGCAGGAAAATGACCTCCTTAAATGAGCTTCAGCGAAGTGAAGTCTGACAAACAACAGCGCAGCGTGGTTGCTGTCAGTCGGCACATCTCTGTCACTTTAAATTACTGCAGGACACGTCCATGCACGGAGAGACAAGCAGCAGTTCAGAGAGGCCTGCCGTGTGAACACAACCGTGAAATCTCTTCTTCTCCTGAATGCTGTTTGTGGAAATCACATCAGCGTGACGGGTGTAACAAACACTGAGTGATCAGCTGGAGTACATATACGTTAGGCCACATGTGTTCACATAGGGAGCAGGCGCTGAAATGTTTTCTGGCTAATGAGTGATCATAAAGCTGTCCTCCTACACTCCGGCTCTAATTATGAACAGCAGCAGCAGCGGCGTGGAAACCAGTGAAGAGTCTAACTAGGACTGCCTCAAACATCTGGCGACATGGTGAGGAACGACAGTCGTTCCAATAAGACAACTCTGGGCGATCAACCTCAAAAGACATCCAGATGAGGAAAAGAAATACAAAGTGCTGACGTCTGCTCTTAGGAAACAGCCTTTTTGAATGATCACCACTGCAGTAGATTTAGCCACTTTTTTATAAACTCTTTAGGCTTCAAAATAACAGCTGCTTCTCTGGAATTGAGATGGCAAGTGTTTGTTATGGCTACCTGCAGGTTTCGTCCAACGGTTTCCTCTCCTTTCGACTTGGCGCACGCCAGTTGCTCCCTCAGCATCTCCTGTCGCATGTGGATGGCCTGCAGCGCCTCCTGGATGTCGAAGAAGTTCTCCTGTTGGTGTGACAGACAAACACGTATACATGTTTTGGGTTTCCATTTTATTGTTTCTTTAAGATTCATTTGAAGGTTCTGGTTGGTTCTCAGAGCCAAGAAGAAATTGAGTTTCTCTCAGTAGTCAAGAAAATATGGTGTTTTAGTATGAAACTACAAATCTCAACCCTGCAACTGACAGCTAACATCTTGGTGAAGTGTCAGTCACACAGGTAGAGTATAATGAGGTCAGTGTATGTGCAGGTAATCCCCATGAGCCAAACTCTTTAAAAGCTGCTCCAAACACACAAACAGTTTTTTCTACTCATGGGTTTTTATGATGTCAGTAAGAGGGAATTCCTTATATGCTCCACCCACCTGCTTTTTAAATCTTCTGTTTGGGGGTGGTAGCCAATCAAAAGAAAGTTGGCTTGAAGGGGGAGGAGCTAAATCAACGAGGCTCAGTATGATATAAAGATGGATTATTTTAAACTGTGATTCATGCAAAGCTACCTTAGGGGAATATTTTCAAAGCACGAAGGTGTTTTTTTGAACTGACATCCAATTTGTGGCTGATATTTTTTAAATAACATTTAACGGTTAGTTTTATGTTTCACCCTTCACTGAGCACATGAAACTGTATACAGCAGAGCAACAGAGCAGCAGGTCAAAGACAAATTTATAAGAATTTTTAGAGGTTAAATTTGCACAAAATACACTGACGCTGTTCAAGGCTTGTTCTGGTTTTAAAAATGATAATATTAATGAAAACTCCAGGCAATATAGAGAACATTTTAATAGAAAAGAACAATTAAACAATTAAAATAAGAAATATCATTTCTGGAGGCAGATTTTATTAAAATGAATAAAGTCGCTAAGAAGCGTTTTACTCTGTTATTAATTAGTTTGAACTTATTTTGTCAACATATAAATAATTGCAACTATTTTCTTTCACGTTACAATTTAAAAACTAATTAATAACACACTAATAAAGCTTATTTATTTAAAAGAAGAACTAGTATTGCTGCTATTTCTTGCTACTTATTTTGGTTATTGGGTTTATCAAAGCTTACACAATACAAATTCCTTTGAATTGTTTATTAACAGACTCGGGGGAATTTTTTCTCACTGTGGATTTCTGCAGAAATTCCCCCATCTTTGAGAGCTCAGAGTAGTTTTTGTGAGCAGGTGTCGGCTTATCTGCAGCTCCGAGGTCCCAGCCGAGTGTGCGTCCGCCACATGTTTTCGATCAGAGGTCTACACGCTGAGAGGAGCTATTCAAAGACAACTCTCTCAGTCAACTGTGTCAGGAGAGGAGCACTGAGAGTCCTTTGTACTCTATTCAATGGTGATGCTGATTCGCCCCTAATGTTCCTGAAAAAGTCTTGCAGAGGAGCTCCAGCTGGCCACATCTTTACATTTCACACATTGTAAATAATGAAAATTAGCCAGCAAGGCAGTTCTGGTCATCATGTTTTCAAATAAACTGGTGAATTTAATGAATAGGAAACATTTCGTAGGGATTACTTTCTCATTTTAAAATGACTGTTTGGTAGAAGACAACCCCTGAGGGGTCCAGAAACTGTTCAGAAGCTATTCAGGTTGCAATCAGTTAGGACAAAACAAGTTAAAACCTTTTATTCCAACAAAAAAAATAGATCTTTCCTGAATTTCTCATTGCCTCTTCCTGTTAAAGGGTGGTTCTTCCTCCCCACAGTCGCCAAGTGCTACTAATATTGGATTATGTGATAGCTGAGGTTCTTTCTGGTTCTTCTGTAATATTTTAGGGTGTTTAAATTACAGTATGAAGCACCTTTTAAATATTAAAATCATGTCAGATAGTGATTTTTGGATATCAGTAAATTTTAAAATCGAACAAGGAAAACTAATGAACACCATGGAGAGTCTGAGAAGCTTTTTTAGCTTGGAGGAACACTCCAGAGTTAGGACAGTCTCTTGATAGTTTAAAGGAAATAGAGACATCTCAGTAAAGCCCAAAAATATTTGACAAATGTTGAAATCAAGACGCAAATTGAAAAAAATCTGACCATACCTCTGTTTTAATTCTTTTAGGTGACGGCTCGTCTCGGTCTCCACAGCGAGACCTGCAGAGAAAAGTCATAATGCACACATGTCAGTTCCATTGCAACCACTGACAGTTTTTATGCCGAGAATTCGCTGAGCTGACAATTTACCTGGGGAAAGCTTTTTAAAAATGAAAGCATCACAAACGCCAAGAAATATGAACACGTGATTCATGATGGGCTTAGACAGATGGTCACATGTGTAGTCCAAACACTGTCGGCTCATTTTAGCTTTAAAACCAAACAACTTAAATCTGAAGTCGGCTTCAGTAAGGAAAAGGTGCTCTTACTTGCTGGTGCGGTAGGTGTATTTGTAGGTGACCTCCCTGGAAATCTGCCGGGCGAGTCCGAACAGCTCGTCGCGGCGTGTCAACAGAGCCATGTCCCTCATGCAGAGCTGTGCCGCCGCTTCGTTCACCGTCAGCTGTGGGACACACATGTACAGATAAATCAGGTTACACAGGAAGACCCCCACAGGACAACATTAACCAGAAAAATATGCGTTCACCCACTTCGTGAAGCGTCAGGTGCTTGCCGTCCCTCCTCTTGGAGTCAAAGCGTCCATAGATGGCGCTGTACTTCCGGATCTCCTCCTCCCTTCGCGGACCATCATCGCTCATTTCAAAGATGTGTCCGATCATCTTTCCTAGCTTCTTGTTGTTCTTCAGCTGCTCTTTTACCTCAGCCAGGTCCGCCTTTGGGAGGCCAGGCGCCATTCTGTCCACACACTCCATGACCGACTGGACAGCGGCTGCGTCCAGAGCTTCTAAAGCCTCTCTGGGCGAAGATGGGGAGCCCAGGTCTGACGGAGACAGGCTGTGCTCGCTATCATTGCTGTGGCCCGACCAGAACCTCACCTCGCTGCTGCCCTGCAGTGGTGATCCGGCCGACACTTTGTCCCTTGCCACGTCCAGCTTCCCCGGGTCAGAGCAGGCGGCGGCGATGGCTTTGGGCATCTTGACGCTGGCGGTACTGGCGCGGTCCTGAGCGCTGAGCAGCGTGGGTGAGCCTTCGGGCAGTTTGTACACGGGGATGCTGCACACGGGCAGCGAGGTGAGGGGCTGGTTAAAGATGGCGGGGTTGGTGACCCAGTCTCGCAGTGCCTTCTGCAGGCGGCGCACGTGCAGCGGCTTGCTGGCCATGCCGACGAGGGCCATGATCTCCAAGAACTCCTCCTCACCGGCCTCGCAGAGCTGCTGCACGTCGTCACCGCCCTGCTGGATGAAGGCCTCATAGTAGTAGAGCAAGTTTGCCCGCTGCAGGATCCTGTAGAGCTGCAGCTCACCCAGGGTTCTCGGCAACACCGCTGCCATACCTAAGAGACGACAAACAGAAGGCCAAAGGTCACTCAGGCACTAAGCTAAGCTAACAAACAGTCACACATGAGATATTGATCTGAAAAAAAAAAAAATACCACGATTGGATGAACAGTTATTATAACCTATTAATATAGTGGGAAGATGAATGTGTGGAGGGCCAAAAGTGCCAAATCCACCCCCCCACCTCCAAATTGAAGGTGCCACATAAATATTGCAAAACTAATAACGATTGAGGCATTGATCCAAATAATAATAAATAAATATCAGCAATTAAATATGTTATTTGTGATGATTTTTATACTGTATTATTTACATATTATTACTAATTGGTTCAGTCGTACGGAGGACTGACACTGTCAAAATTAAAAATAAATAAATAAAAATAAATAAATAAAAAACAATAGAAAAACAAATAGTGAAAAATAATATATAAACAGAGGCATTAATACAAATTAATATTTTCTTTCTTTTTTGTTTCTGGTGAAATTTAGTTATAAAAGTGCCACCATTTAGATTATACTCTGTAAAATGTGTGGGTATAATAAGCTAAAGCTACACCCTGCAATTTTACAGTCAATAATTTGTGTTTTTTCTGCTTTATTTGTTTGTTTAATTTTTTAAAAGCATTCTCCAATTGTTGTTGAAAACTGTAAATAACCACTGAAATACAACCCCCCCATTTATTTTTACTTTTGGCAATTTTAGACTTCCGTACCAGGAAACAATCTTCCTTAATCTTAATCTTCCATAAGATAACAATAACAGATTGTGGTAGTTCTCTAAGATCGAGTCGTTGAAATGCTTCAGATGTAGAAATGTCAAATCAGTCACGTTCTGACTGAAATCCTCCTGCTGAGTGCCAAATGGTGAGAAACACCAATTTGCCCTTTAAGGAGAAAACAGAAAGGGGGAAAAAATGATGCGCTCACATGACACTAACTCAGTGCTTTGTTAAGATCATCAGCAGTCAATCTCAACAAAGCAGGAACATGTGAATTTCTCTCAATGAGCAGACACTAAAACTGAAAAGAGAGCATGAGGACTTTTGACCTTGGAGACAAAAAACGGAAGTCAAGTTTTTCACTTGAATCTTCACAGCTGAAGAATGTGAAGATGAAAAAAAGAAATGTAAAAATAAATATGCAGTTTTTACTGTTTTCACTGGAGGCTCCATTGCTCATCTGAATTAGCTGCTGTGAGCCAACATGGAGACACATTTCTAAGAACAATGCACAGGAATTATATTTGGACTGCACTTGTTATCCTTGGCATGTGCAGGGTTCCTGTTTATCAGGAGTCCACAGGTGCGTGGATAGGTGAAATCTGCTTCCACTTTTCCGCCAGAAACCACAAACAGCTTTCGCTTTGCCCTGCTTTAACTAACCTACGTCGATCCAAGTGTCTCAAATAAAGAAGTAAACGTTAAAACCAAAGAAAAGGGCAGAAATGAAGTGAAATAATAATTATGAACAACAGTAGTCCAGTAAAACTACTAAAACCTACAACTGAAATTTACTTACTAAACATCCGAAACACAATCAAAAAACAAGGTAAAATCATAATTAACAGCAGATGCGGTGCGTAGGCAGCTCATTTAGTGTTTTTTTTTCCAAATATCCTTGAGCTTCTGTGCCATATTTTGCTTGAATGAACATTATTATTGGTTCTAGTTGATAGCACTGCATCAACCCAATCCTGGCTTCTCTATATTCGATCCCTGTGTGGTTTACAATTAAAATTCAGGGAGACATCACTGAAATGTTTCAGCCTCTGATCCTCCGGTGAGTCCTTCTCCTGCTCCAAAGTGGAGACTTGAATCTACAGACCAATGCACGAGCAGATAACTCTTGTATGTAGCATTCATACAACACATGTAGATAGATGGAAATCTTTACTGGAACACGTGTAAGATTTAACTCCAGTGCGTAAGGAAATTTGAACTTGATCAAATGAGTGTGGAGAAAACACGGTGCACATGTTGGTGATCATACCTGGATATGGTCTAGCATACTAATAAATCAGACACATCACAGGTAGGTTGCTACAACCTGCCCATCCAGCATACAATATCTGCACTGAGAAGGTACAAGAAATATATACGTTGCAACAAAGTATTTATTGCATTGCATTATTTATTGCAATTACAATCCTGTCAACAATTACAATCCTGTCATGCCCTTTGCTTTCTTGTGTTTACACATATATACACACAACAGTGGTTTGTTTTCTCCGTCTGAAAGCTATAAATCACATGGATATAGCTTTAAAAACTGGGAAAACAGGAATTGTGCACACAACTGTGTAAGTGTTATAACACATTTTTACAGGGCTGTTTAAGTGACGTTGTTATTTTACTGTCAGTTTACTGTCTTTTTAATTTTACTGTTATTTTAATCTTTTATTGTTATTTATTACAGACATTTTAAGTTCTTGTTTTGTAGTTTTTATTTAAAAAAAACAACTTTTTCTTAACTTTAGTTGTTTTTTCTATTCTAATTTGCCCTCTGAGCTCGCCTGCCAAAGCACTTTGCAAACTCTGTTCTCAAACTTGTTATTACAGTAATAAAATGTACAAAAAATGTCATTTTTAAATTGCTGCTTTAGCTCTAAATGTGGGTCTACAAACATCTGTGAATCCCTGTGAATAAACGTCTTCTGCGGGCCCACTCGCCGTCCTTTGAGGACGACGCTCGCTTGGCCTTTAATTTTAAAGAAATGATTGAATCTCGTCACTTGCCATCTCAAACTCAGAGAAAACAGGAGAGAAGCTCAGAAACTGGCTTGTTTTTCGACTCTCCCTGTGTGCATGTGAGGCTCTGCGGAGGCCTACAGCTAACAGAGGAGTGGCAGTCAGCGAGCCTGGGTTACTGGGAGGACCACATGCCTCTCTCCACCCCTGCAGGATGTGTAGGTGGTGGGCTCGCCTCGCCCAGAATAGGCTCTGAGAGCCTCAGCCCAGGGAGCCAGGGAGCCAGGCAGGCAGGCGTCGAGTGAGCAGGGAGAAAGACAAAAGCTGCCTAAGACAGAAAACTGAAACCATCCTCTTTAAAATACGTGGATTTATTCAGTCTACACAGATATCAGAGATCACTGGCACTCAAGGTGACCTCCAGAAGAGCTCCTCTAACTCAGTTTCCTTCTATACAAACGAGTTTTAGGCAAACAACCCAATAAATGGAAAAAAAAAATAATTTTTTTAAAAACGGAATCAGACAACTTTTGAAACTTCCACTCCACGTCCTTATCTTAAACTCACAAATTCTGTTTAGAATAACAACTTTTGTAGCATCTACACAAATGACCAACTGAATAATAACAGTGTCCCTCAGCAAACCTGTAAACATGTCTAGACTAGAGGAAAGATGCCTCCTTTTTTTTCTTGTTTCTTCCAGCTGCAAACAGGTCAACGTGCTTTCTGATTGTAGAAATCTCTCCATTTAACCAAAAAATAAAAATAGTCTTTCCTGGAGTAACGGTTGGAAAAGGAGGAACGATTACGGGCGGTAATAACAGGTAATTTAAGTTCACAGGTCTGCATCACATTCACTATAAAACTTTTAAAAAATGTGGATATAACGTGTGATGTGAAACTCGAGAAAGGCTTGCTGTTTCTTGAGCAGAACTTCTCAGTGCGCTCGCTTTCCATTTATGTCACCTCAAGAGTTTACGTTAGCCTTTCCTTACAACTACGGCGGCTTTAACAGAAAGTAATGACGAGGCAAAAAACAATCACTGTGTCAAAGCAAGAGTAAAATTTCACATGAAAACGTGACTGTTTCCAGTCTTTCAATGACAAAAGGTTTGTTTATTTAAGCTCAATGTGAACAAAATGTGACAAAAACTGAAACTAAATGAAGCTCGAGTTCACAAAGAACTCTTGAGCTTTTGTTTTAGCGCTTACACAAGCTTCTTATCTTATGAAAACAGCAAAAATGACTGATCTTAATGATTTGTTTCATTTATGATTCAAAACATCCTGATTTGGCAGCTTGCACACAACATTTGATTTAATTCTTGGAATAAGGATGTTTTTTTCTTTCTTGAAATGTTATTATTTAGTACTCTGAGAAAAGGTGCAATAAAAACCTGAGATTTTTAGAGTAATTTGGCTCATTCAACTCTGAACCTGCAGACGCTTCAGAGCTTTTGCTCGTCTGCGTGTGAATCTGTAGGCGAGGGATTTTTGCTTCTGGAAGTTTTCTGGTTTCCGCCTGTATTCTGAGTTCTATTAAAACTGGATTTGGCTGCAAACAGGTGAACAGTCTGTGAGCACAAACTCAGTCTCAAAATCATCCTACTATCAGGTTATTATTAGCTTCTTTAAAAAGCCTTTATAGATTGGGAATCCTAGCCCGGATCTTGAATAGAAACCCTGAAAAAACTGCCCGCTGCTCCCAGAAACAAGTTGGCAGACTGTCCGATGGGCACTACTTAAAAAAAACAAACAAAAGAGTTTGGTTTTACACATTACTTTCCATTTTTATCTTGTAACATCTACCAGGTCACCCAGGTCACCCATCTAGGGATAGTGTTCAGTGAGCCTTCACCTCTTTTATGAAATATTTGCCTTTCTGGAAAACAGAAAATCCTCTTTGACTGAAAGGTAACAACATCCAATTTCTTTACCCAAAACAAAACCCAACCTTAATCGTAGACTAGTCTCTGAAGTTATTCATTCCCAGTTGCTGCTTTTCTGTCTTCTTTTATGTCTTATTTGGAAATGTGCCATCGGTTAACTAGCCTAAACTAGCTTACATCCTGATCCTGAACACAAAGCCGAAAACCAGCCCAAAGAGCACTTCAGTGATTCTACGAATGAAGGAGGTACAAGCAGAAAAGGGCGGCTACGATGCTGCGTGCCGTACTTTTGAAAATACAGCTCTGGCTGCTTGGTTCGGGAGTTCGTCTAGGGAAAACGGCATGCTCGACAGCTTTTTTTCTATCTGCCTCTCATGCAGATAACTGAGGAACTTACCATAACTGTTTGATTAGTAACTGTAATGTGGTTACAGTTGTGTAGCACTGCCCACTTGGCCTAAAGCAAAGTTTTCTGAGGAGCAAATTCTCACCATGTGACTGTGACCAACCAATCAGGCATTAGGCCAGAAGAAGCACTGTAGCAACATCCCGCTGTCCGCATGTGATTTGCTGATACATGTACCAGTTTATTCATGTGTTTTTTAGTAAATGTCGGCCTCTCTGTTCTGTTCAAGACTTTATCAAATTGATTAACCTGAAACCATGCAGCAACTCATTAATGATGACCCTCCAGTTGCAAATGGATAATCTCAGACATGCTCTAGGCTATGAACTGGGAATTTACCAATTTGACCCTTGTCCTACATCTATCTGTGCTTATATTAGCCTAACCATACCTCTGTAGCCACCCACCAGGTAGAACAAAAAAATCCTAACCCTGAAAACATTGCTGGTATTTAGCTTTCTGTGTTTGTTTGCATGCAACGACGTTAAACTCTAATGTACGCCCGGTTAAAAAAGCCACACTGCTCATTTAACTCTGAATGTTCCAGTGTTTGTTAATTTCAGTTCAAGTCAATTTTAAAGCCAAATCACACCAACAGTTGTAAGGTAAAGACCCTACAATAACGGAGAAAAACTCCAAGAATCGGACAACTCCCTATGAGCAAGCACTTGGCGACAGTGGGGAGGAAAAACTCCCTTTTAACAATAATAATAATAATAATAATATATTGGATTTATATAGCGCTTTTCAAGGCACCCAAAGCGCTTTAAAATACCACTATTCATTCACTCTCACATTCACACACTGGTGGAGTAAGCTACAGTTGTAGCCACAGCTGCCCTGGGGCAGACTGACAGAAGCGAGGCTGCCATATCGCGCCATCGGCCCCTCTGGCCAACACCAGTAGGCGAGTAGGGTAAAGTGTCTTGCCCAGGGACACAACGACCAGGACAGAGAGCCCAGGGATCGAACCGGCGACCTTCCAGTTACAGATGCGATTCCCAACCCAGGGAGAAACCTAAGGGATTCCTCCTGAAGGAGCGTTTTTACCCAGAAATGGCTAGCAACATCAGATTTATTAGGGGCTGTCTCGAGTTTTCAGGGCTTTACTAAATAAACGTTGTCCAGGCTTGCATTATTTTTGCAACACGCCACACTCATTTGTTCCCATGGGTTCCCCCCTTTTTTGCATTTAAAATAATTTACTTCACAAGCATATAGGCTGAGCTGCTCTCATGTGTTGAGGTCATTTTGTTGAGTAAAGGTCATGGGCTCACTTACTTCTGAAAACAGCCTCTATTTGCATGTCTACGTATTTCTGATATGATCATTATGTTTCTGGGATAGAATGAACCCACATTTTGAGCCTTTAGAATTGACCCCATTAACCCCACATACACATGCTTTTTTTCTCTAAATGTTGGTTTAGGAAATGGAATATTTGAGGATAAACTCATTATTGTTATTATTTTTCAGGTCCACTGTTAAGCATGTTGCGCACCCCACATAACTAACATATAAATTAAGTTTCATTTTCTGATGAACACGAACGCCTCTCCTATCATTTTAGCATTAATGATAAAACCACTCATCCTCCTTCAGATGCTCAGGAGGCACTCGCCAACCTAAGATGGGTATTTACCACCATCTTAGCCCTACAGATGCTTTATTGTTAGACTGATAGGTTGGAAAAAGTGGCAAAAAACAAATAAAATTGACTGTGAAAAGACCCAACCCTGCTAGATCATCATATACTCAGGTGTTTTACTCATCTGTTCCTTGGCATTAAGCTGCTGTGACTTAAATGCAGCAAAAGCTGTAAAAGTTGAACAGTATAGGATGATTTCTTTGGGGTTTTCTCGGTGATGTAAGATAGTAAAATGAATACGAAGCGAAAAAAGAAAAAAGAGAATAACCACCAGATGAACTAACAATGAAATGATTAGAGGAGTTTTCTTGTTCAATAAGTGTTTTCAGCAGCAGAAGGTTATCTGTCCCTCTACACTGCTGTGTGCCTACAAATAGAAACACTGAATTCATTCACTCCACTTCAGTTCCACTTGTTGTCAATTCTTTCAACCATCTGCACAAACACTCCCAGCCATCTTACTCTAGTTTCATCACAGCAGGCGTATGTGTGTGTGTGTGCGTCTGTGTGCGCGAGGATGATGAATGCGTGTGTGTGAATGGCAGAATCTTAAGTGAAGTCCTGCTCCACAAAAGCGAGTTTTGCCAGTTGGATCTTTTCACCTGGAGAAACGAGGCGTGCGCTGCCACAATGGCACACACACACAAAACACATGTACACGCATTCATGATGAGTGGATTTCCAGGTGAAGTGCCACGCAGAAGCAGCAGTCCTCCCTCAGCGAGCTGAGAAATCCTTTGATTTCACTGTGATTCAGGAGGAAATTCCCAGAACTACTCTTTGATACCATCACCCGAGCGGCCTGGAAACCATCAGCTCATCTGCCAGACTGTCTGGGATGTTACTCCAACCCTTTGTGAAAAAAGAGCCACTCAAACCCGGCATTCGCTCCAGTGATGAAGCAGCTAAAAACGGCACAAAATGACGCACAATACATCGGAGATCCTCTCGCTCTTTCCTCAAATATTCCTGTAGCAACTTGTCCGTTGACACTCTCCGCAAACCAACCCACCCTGCATATGATGCTAGAAATTTGGATATAAATGTTTATTTAGAGGGATTCCCATCACGTTTTTAAAAAAATAAATAAACGGTTTCTAATGGACTAGCGCTTTGGTTTGTGTTTACCTCCCGCTCATGTGGATATTATTATCCCTACAGTGCTATAACACAGGCGGATAGTTTTGCTACAGCGCGTAAAAATGACTTTAGAGCTGTTTTTACGTCCCCTCATAGAATTTTTAAGCTGACTTTAAAGCACATGCAGTAATGTCTGCAAGCATTTCCAAGAAAATAAAAAATAAAAATCATAAAATGTGTCTTTGCAAAACATTTCCAATCACCATTATTATTATTATTAGCAGCAGCAGGTTACATGCACGGTCACCGTCTTTAATTGAGCCTACCTGGTGAGTTTTTGCCCCCCTCTGGTCCGCCCTGGTCCGGTTCCTCGTCTTCCCTTTTCTCCTTCTCCTCCTTCTTCTTCTTCTTTTCACACTACCACTCCTGAGTGTCAATTTGCGCACAAAGAAACCCGCAAAGGAGAGGTCCCGCAGCAGCAGCGAAGTGCGTAAAATTCAAAAGAGAGGAAAAAAAATCTAAATTCAAAAGACGAATAAAGACAAGAATTATCTCCAAGGCGCACACAGACAAAAAGAAGCGCGCCTGCTTGTGTTTGCGTGCTCAGACCGAGCCACTCTCCTCTCCTCTCTGTTTCTGGAAACTTTTCTCTCTCGACTGCCGTTAAGAGAAAGGAGGGGAAAAAACCGCAGAATATGAGTAAAAAAGCCGCTGACCTTCGTGCGTCTTTCGGTGCGTCTTCTTCCTCCTCCAAAGTGTGTGTGAGTGAGTGTGTGTGAGTGTGTGTGTATGTGCGAGGATGATGAATGCGTGTGTGTGTGTGAGTGTATGTGAGTGAGTGTTTGAGTCCTCTCCCAGCGTCTCTCCACTCCCCCTTCCGCACCGTCAAGTCAGACGCGGTAGTGCGATCCCGCGCTTCCGCCTGCGTTTACGCAAAAAAAAAATAATTAAAACACAAGGTACTGGGTGAAGGTGCGGGCGCACTTCTGAATGGAGGAAAAGTGGGCGGGAAAAGAAAAGAAAGAAAGAACACGTTTAAATAAGAGCTGCAAAAATGTTGGATATTTTATGATTAATGGCTCTGTGAGTTATAAACGATGACAGGAGAAGCTGTTGTGAGCCCTAAAAAAGAAAGAAGAAGAAGAAGCACTAACGTGTTCTCTTCAGATTGGTTCATTTACAGCATTTCTTTATCTGGTGGAAAAACTGAGACGTACTGTTGAAATCGCAGTTTTTCTTCTATTAAGACATCTCAGGGATTAAACTGGATTAAAGATAATGTATGCAAATGACCAGTGAACGTGAGTGCAGGGGTTCCTCTGCTTGACTAAAACGTCAATCACATCAGTGACCCTCCATGGCGGACATAACAGGGAACCAGATTCCTATTTTAAACTATTTTACTGAAAATAGAACCAGGGAGTGTTTTTAAAAGTGCTGACATGCCTGAATGTTCAATCATCAATAACTCAGACGTTTAACAGTCACAGAGAAACTGCACAACGTGTTCAGACTGTTTGACTTTAAGCACAGACAGTGTCTGTAGTTTTGCAAAACTATGGAAAAATGCAGAAAAATTAAATTAAATGAAAGTAAAAACGAAATAAAAAAGTAAATAAAAAACTCTATTAAACGTTTACTACATACATTAAACTGCCATAAAGAGAGCTTAAATCAACTCAAACATAACGACGCTTTTATTTTGCCAGCTCTTCCTGTCTGACGCGTCGTGAGCGCGCACGGCTTGATGCGGCAGCCGCAGAAAGTGGGATATTCCGCGCGGTTGCCACAGAGCCTCTCTCTCTCGCTCTCTCTCTCTCGCTCGCTCCTTCTCGCCCACGCTGCTCCCTGCGTGACGCAAATCCGCGCGTGGGCGGACACACGGGGCGTGGGAGGCTTTCTGCACGGAATACCAAACACAGGCAGGTTCAACACCCACAGAGAGACAGAGAGACACAGCAGTTTGCACACTTCATGCTCTCAAACTGAACGATTACTGCGGATGTTATCTCATTATTTGATCCTCAGCTGTAAATATTGTCAGAACTAGTAGTCGGTGAATACTGAACCTGATCACCGTGCATTCTTACAAGCTGCTCCACCTTCAAACTTTCTTATATGTTTTAATGTTGTTTTGTTTTTCACATTAGGAGTGTGCATGCCTGTGAATGTGGGCATCAGTACTGCATCTCTATATATAGTCATTGTTTTATGTGTAAATGTGTCCCTCTCAATATATAAACCGTTCAATATGCATCTGCATTTATGCCTATACACCTGTAATGGCTTGAGCTGCTTTAGACACTAGCTGTGTTTAGACTCACTGTCCACTTCATTACATACAACTGTTCAATTCTGGTGAGGTTGTGTTAACTGCAGCCCCTCTTTCCAGTTCTTACCTGCAAGGAGTAGCACCCAGTGTGGTCTTCTGATGCTTCTCTTAAAAAAGCCCCAACCCAAAACAAAACAAATGCATGTCTTTATATTATATATAACTTAAAATGTTTCTATAAAATGTACTTTATATACCTCTCTTAATGATGGACACCTGTAAAACTGATGAGCATATCAGCGTAACCTTGTAATATCTATAAAATACTTTATATTATTTTCTGTATATACAGTACATTTCCTCCATACATGTATTTCTACATACACACACACACGATTGGCAACACATCACACAGTGAGTTTTCTTTCAAATTGTGCATAACTAAACATTTTTAAATCCCTATAAATGTCTATATTTTATGTCGTTTTTTTATATTTAGCAACATAAAATGCTTTCATATATGCATTTTCTTCATGCAGTGTGTACATTTACATTTGCATTATCTATGTTTTATATGTTCAATGTGTCCAGTGTAGACATTTACCCAGAAAAATGTACGTTTGTTTTATAGCTGTGCATTTAGTTATTACATATTGTCTATGCAGGCGACACTTTCACTGACTTTTACATTGTTTCTGCATATACATTTACAATGTTTACAGTATGTTTATTACATTTATTTTATACTTAAATACATATCATTTGAACATTGTAAACATTGTCTATATTCTACATTTGCAAACGTGCATGTAGAGTATACTGAAAAAATACCAGTATGTCATCTTAACCTGTTTTCACACATGAGTTTGGGCAATTTGGGGAAAGTCCTGGCTGGGTATTTTCCACAGCATTCCTCAGCAGTTGGCAGGTTAAAGACTGTTTAACATCCTGTCAAAGTGCATTAGACATCAGCGTGTCTGCTGGACAGCTGTCTAGAAGAACTCAAGGCTGCAGTGCAAGCATGTAAACTGCTCTAAATGAGGCATAAAAAATGTAAAAGTTAATGTTTTTCTATAAATAGATTTTAGAGAAGTGCATCTTCACTTCTTAAGTATTACTTTTACTGTCATAATGTATTGTAGCCTACTGCAGTATATACACTGTGTCCAAATGAACATGTAGTCCAGAATAAAGTGTATAATGTGCTCATATGAATATATTTTTGTTACAGCATGCCTGTCAGTTTATAGTTTGTATTGGAATCAGGTGGAAGCAGTATTTATAAATTTACATAAGTTAGCATTTGGGGGAAAATATAAAACAAACTTGTTGCATTTGATATATTTTACATTGTAAAGCTACTTTAATGTACTGTATTGAGCTTTTTTTTCACAGCATTTTATTTTTACTTTATTTTTATTTTATTTATATTTTAACTTACCAAGCACCATTTTTGTTATACTATCGATGTATCCTACCTCTGTTATAGGTCGTGTTTAATGTTTTGACTGCTTATACATTGGAATTTCACAACATTTGGGATAAAACAGTATCTCGTTTCATCTGATCTTTAAAAAAACCTCACGGCTTGTTTCTGGAACGAATAAACTCCACTTTTCTAATGTGTCAAATGGAAATTTTCTTCCTCCTCGAAAAAAGTTGGTGGAAATATTCCAGCCGTGGTTCTTACGGTTCCTACTTCGGGGTGACTGTGACAGGAAGACCCTTGCATAAGTAAACAAAAAAAAAAAAAACCAACATTCCCATCATCTGATAAAAATAACAGTGAGTTGAACCCGGACAAGCTTTGATTTTGACTTTCAAAGGCGTCACATTATGACTGTGGCAGCAGCATGCTGTCGTTATCGCTGAGTGATATCTAAACAGGCAGATTTGGTCACGTGCGAGTCTGTAAAGTTGTGCACCACGCAAGTGCGTCAGTGAAACACGCCCGTATGCAAATGTTCAATCGAGATTTCACAATTTTTCATTTGGCTACGGTGTCACAGGGCATGCAAATGGTTTCCAACACAGGGAAGTGGGTAGCAGGAAGCCCTCTGAAATGTGTGTGTGTGTGTGTGTGTGTATGACTATGTGAACCTGACTTAGCATTTCAAGTGTTTCCCAAAAGTGACTTTCACACACAGCATTATTATTCTGAAATTTTTTATTATTATTGTACAACAATTACTGACAACACAACCATTACTGTAGGTAATTTTTACTGGAGGGGGTAAAGCTGCTGCAGCTGTGGTGTCAGTGACAGTAATACTACTATTAATACAATTACTATGACAACTACTGGTACTTTTGCTATTGCTTGTACTTAACCCAGTGCTTTAATATTGCTACTACTAACACAAATACCCCAACTAGGCCTGACAGAAACAGATACCAATGCTTCTTTTGTTGTCGATGCTACAAGTTTGCTAGTACTAAACAACACATACTTCTACAAGTAGTACTCATTCCAATGCTTATTTTACTTTAACGCCTACTATTGCATTACAAAACCATAAATACAAACTTTTTATTTGTAAAGTACTACCATCATAACAGACTCTATCACCAATATGCATAGTACTTATTACACAGTACCATTACTACTATTCCTGCAACTGAAACTATATTCTCTAATACTGTTACTACTATCAGCTTGAATAATTAAATCTAAAATCATGCATTAGTTAGAATGAGAAAAGTTGGATGTAGACATTGTGGTGTCACATGTATTCATTTCAGACATTTTGAAGCCTTAAAGCTGACTTTTTAACTTTTTTTTAGGGGGGACAGAATTGACCACAGAGGAGTGACAAACTATTAACTAACACCAGCAAGCTTGGTAAGATCCCAATCACACAGGCCTAGAGACCGGTTGGTGACCACCTGGCAACCACAAGCTAACTAGGAACAAATCTGTATTCCCTGATTGGTTTTGAGCGGTTGCCGTCATACGTTGTCAAAGTCCTCGTCGTACATGCCTGGAGACCAGTCAGTGAGCCTGGAAACTAAGAGTAGGTAAAAAGGTATAATTCCCAGCTGGTTGGCAAGTGGATGCTGGAGGTTGCTAGCAGTAGCTGGATGAAATGGTTGCAAAGAGTTCTAAGGTGCTGCAATTAGAAAACCTCCTTGCAGTTGCTTTGGTCATTAGCAGGTTCCTGCAGCTGTGAATAGTTTGCATTGAAGACATCGACTTGTCTGCAAACACTTGCCAACTATTTGCCAAATGGTAGTGATAGTTGAAAAAAGTGCAACATAATCAGAAATGCAAAACATTCATCTTCAAGTTAAAGTTGTTCCTTTTGAAATACACTAGTGTCAATGGTAATGTACAACTTCAACTTTGAAGCAAAATGTTTTCCTTTTGTGGTTTTCATCACAGGTTTTCAAGTTTCACCACCATTCAGCAAGTAGTTAGCAAGTGTTTGCAGACAAGTTGAGGTCTTCCATGCTTCTTATAGACAACTATGGCAATCTGCTAGTGACCAAAACATCTACAAGGAGGTTT